TTTTTTTTTTTTTTGTTACATTCCACAGAGTACTTCAGGCTAAAGACTCAAGTTAAACTCAGTTATTATGGTAGAGCTGGAACACTTTACTGTTTAAATGCTAATAATGCACCAGTACCTCAATTCAACTGCTGCAAATAAATGTCAAAAGGTTGAATAATAAATATTAGAATGAGCCATTAAATTTATGCACTAGATTTCGAAAATGGAAGTCTAACTGTTAATTCAGTTAAAGTTTGTTAAGTTACATGGTTGCACAGTAAGGGTTCACTATAATTCAATGTGGCAGCAGCCTACTTTTTGGGAGCTTTGTTTTTGGGTGCAGGGGTGTCTTTTTCGAAGAGCAGTTGCACTTACTCCTTTTTCTCTGGCTTGGAAAGGCTGGGATCTGCCTGCGACCCCAGCGCTGGGAATAGCTGCCTCATCTGAAACCAGTAAATAAATGTGGAATTCTATTTTTGGTAAAAGGGTGTCTTTTTACTTGTACAGCCACTCTTTGCAATTGGGAAGCCTTTTTGTTTCACCCAGAGGTCTTAAATAAGGTTACTGTTACCCACTAATGTCATACTTCAGTTGTGGTCTGAACATGCCCCTTGCAAACTTGCAAAGCAACTAAAATATTTGCCCGGCTAGCAGGACAATTTATGGTCCAGCCCCTCACGCTGGCTGGAGGAAATAGCAAAGCAGTAAATACAACACAGAAAGTGAAACGAGAGGCCGTAAGTGCAAAGAATACACAAAACGAGAAGACCACGTTATTCATAGCACTTTGGCACCAAAACTCAGGCTTTTCGACCATGTTACACTTCCCGGTTCTATCCTCATCTCTTTAAATTTGTTGTCGTGGGTTTTTTTTGCCATGCCATCCTCTCTATGTAGCAGAAACATTTCTACTGCACGTGACAATCAGAGGCAATTATCTATATTTGCACTTAATATCGAAATAGTCGAACAGGCAGACTTCTAGAGTCTAGCCCTCGGTAAGACATGCTGGTATAATATATTGTGATGATGGAAGCAGTAAATCAAAATTATGGAAATTTGCACTGTTGAAAAGCATGCTTTAGCTTTATTTTCAATTAAAAACACTGTTTAAAAAAAAAATCCTGATTCCATACACTTTGAATTATTGCAGAGTTATCCGTGGTTTCCTCTCCGTTTGTAAGTTCACTGTTTTTATTTGGAGGAAATACGCTTCAAGAGGTTAACTGTTGGAAGCAGTAAATCAAAATTATGGAAATTTGCACTGTTGAAAAGCATGCTTTAGCTTTATTTTCAATTAAAAACACTGTTTAAAAAAAAAATCCTGATTCCATACACTTTGAATTATTGCAGAGTTATCCGTGGTTTCCTCTCCGTTTGTAAGTTCACTGTTTTTATTTGGAGGAAATACGCTTCAAGAGGTTAACTGTTTCCCTCCCTCCCCCCCAACCCCTCGAAAAGAAAGGGAAGGGGGGAAAAAAAAAAAAGAGAAAGGCTGGAGGCCGAGGTGGAGGCCGAGCTGAGGACGGGGGAAGGTCTCTCTTGCGGGGGGAGGACGGGTACAGCAACTCTGAAAACAGCCTGAAAAGTTTGCAGCTTGAGAAAGGCAGTTATAATTGAGTTGCTGAATCAGCAGAGTTTAGGATGAATAATTGCTGGTTTCTTTCTTTGGATTAGCATTTTATTTATACTAGATCATTCCCAAATTAAATTTTAAGGATTCCACTCATCGATCAATCCCGGGAGAATAATTTATCGTAAATCAAAAAAGGAAAACAAAGCAACAATGTAATGTTTACTGTGTGACTCAAAGTCAACATTTCTGCTGGCAATCCACAGCCTGGGTTTCAATTTTTTAATTCCTGCCTTTTGTGATGCCCTGTCCCAACCCCTCATGTCTCTAAATATTCCAAGCAGTCACTAACTGATTTCAGCTCTGTTTACTATATCCACACTGTAGTTTTCCTCTCATTGTAAAAGGCCTAGTCTAAGAATACCTGCAGCCAAATATATTTAGAAAGAGTAAACAATTGCCTTTCAGTGGAGTCACCCTTCCCCCCGCATGCACACGCACACACACATGCACACGCACACACATCACTTTAAACTGCCAATTGCAAAAGGTGCATTGCGTACTTAACTGCTCTGCTGAAATTACGATGGTCATGAAAAATCTGCTTACTGAAGTTGTTCTGAGATGAATGTTTACATTCGTATGTTTAGAGCTGCACAGATTACAGCCTTATTTCCAGAGAACAGTAAAGATGTACAAAATGTAGTGCTCAGGAAAGCCCCCTGCTCTGTTAGAAAACTGTGTCTGCTTGACAAAGGTCTTCCCTTGACCAAAAAAAAAAAAAAAGAAAAAAAAAAAAAAAAAAAAAAGGAGGGGGGGGAGCTAAACCCAAAAGTTACAGAGGTGCAATATGCAATTTTGCCTTGTCAATTAAACAACGTATCACTTTCAAAGTAACTCTGTCCCCTGACCCTGTTTACTTCCAATTAGAGATATGCTGATTTGCCCAGGAATTGTAAATTACAGAGGTGCCTTTTCAGGTTCCCGAAATAATCCTGGGAGGGGGGGAGTGGGAGGAATAAGCATAAATTTATACCAAATAGGCTCTGCAGAGTTGAGGACATGAAATATGGCACCCAGCCCTGCCAGCGGCCCAGGAGCTCCAGGCCCAGGCCCAGGAGCAGGAGCAGCGCAGGGAGCGCCCCAGGCCCAGCACCCACTGGGCATCTCTGTGCAGGCAATATCAAAAGGAAAAAAGTTAAACAGCCAAATAATTTTCACACTTGTACACCTCTGTTTAGTGCAAGCCACTAACAAGGACATTCATGTTTTTACTACCATTGGAGAAATTAGCCAGGTATAATAACTCATGAGGGGAAAAAAAAAAAAAAAGGTATTCTTTCCAATTCTGGTAGTTTGGTAACTATTTCTGATGGCATTGTAATTATTATTGTGAGCTGAGTTATCATTTCAGCTTTAATAAAGTCATATCACTGAGTTACATAAAAATAACCAATTTTCTCCCATAAAGGTAAGTTCTAATAACAAGGAAAAACAAAGGCTTTTCAAGTGAGCCAGGTTACCATTTTGTTGCAATGTTTACAGGAGATAAAATGTATTAGTAATGAATCTCCACCATTTTCCAATTCCTGGTGTATACAGAAACCAACAGAGTTTTCCAGAGGAAAAAGCAATCGAGGGAAGTGTGTGTACTTTACGGACTGTACTCCATAGGTATTTTCCCCAAGTAGAGTTCTCAGCTAAATTTATTGGGAAGGTTTCTACTGCCAGATGGAAGACAAAAGAAAGTTTTGGACTATGTTTAATTGTCTATAGCATTAAAAAGGGAACATGTGTAATGCCTTCAAAAAGGAGGTATATTGCCTTAAAAGATGTAACTTGCCGTTTACAACAATTTACTTTAAGAAGTGATTGTTCTATAATCTACACTTACTTGACTACAGTGGGATAATCTCTTTACTGGTTGTTTATTTAAACCACCACTACTAGCAATAATGCAAAATAGTGGTAGCTCTTGTATGAAGTTTGCTGTTCAATCGATTCACTTGGTGATTTTTTTACGTGGTCTCTGATCCTTTTTCCTCTAACGGATTTAGTTGCCAATAAATTAAAATTTCTGCAGAAATGAAAGCAATGATTTCATGTTTGTGTTTGTCACTGTTCACACACGAGAGTGGCTAAGGCACAGAGGGGTAAAAAAAGTGGCATTTTCAACACACGATGGTAATCTGCAGGAAAATATTCTACATACACAGTATGTTAGAGAACATGAAATACGGATAACGTTGTTAATTGTGGGTTTTATGGTTAAGAGGATTGCTGGAAAGAATATGTAATGGCTCATCCTGGGATCTATTTGGTCAGCTTGGAAGTACAAAAGGAGGGTGAATGCCTGAAAATTAAAAGCCCTGTCTAGCAAAATAAGGAGCGAGGCACCGGGATCTACCTTGCTAAAGTAATGCTTGCAGTCATTGCCCATTCCCCTGGCATTTAGCTCTGCAGCCGCGCTTAAGGAAAGCACGGTCTAACAGCTCTTGGGATGAGCTCAGGGCTCCTGGCTGCAGGGCGGCCGTGTCTCCCCGGTGAGTGCCGCGGCCTGCCGGAAAACCTTTCGGGAAAGGACAGCTAACCGGTTTTAGGCCTTCCACGTTGCATTTTTTCACTGCGCTGATATAATTATTTGCCGTGCCCTCGGCCCCTCTCTCTCCCCCTCTCCCTTTCACTCCGAGGCGGCCTCACAAGCCCCTGCTTTAAAAGGCCCGAGATGTTTTGCATGAAGCGCTCACAATAGGGGTTGAGAGAATTGACAGTTTCAAAAACAAGGCTCCCTGTCCTTTCCAGATGCCGAGGACCCCTCTCCCGCACCATCTCTCGTTTGCTCCTCGCTGCTGGTGGCTTTATCCTTAGCATTGCAAATATACGGCAACAGCTGTGT